AAAGGCACAACAACATTCAAAATCAAAACTTTACGAAATTGACACTACAATTTAAATATTTGTACATGAAATGAAGTGTATGTAGAACTTTATTATTTTCAAATATGAAAAATGATAAAATGGAATGTAAAAATGATCAAATGTAATGCAAAAGGTATAATAACATTCAAAATACAAAATTTCCCTTCCTTTTTTTGCCTTTTCTTGTAGAAATAAATAAAAATTCAAGAAAACATTTCCTAGGAACAAAAAAGCAAATAAAATAACAAGTTCAAAGTTTTTTGTTACATTTTTTTTTACTTTTATTATTTGGCTACTAACAAAGAAATAAAATTTTTCTTTTTTTGAAAATTTTTTCCTTTTATTTCAAAATTTCTTTTTTTATTTTTTTGAAAATACAAAAAAATCCGTCTAAAAAATATATATTTATTTTTAGGATACGAGTCATTGACAAACAATAGACAAACCAAATGATATGTCAAAAGAAAATTTTATCAAAGGAATTTTTTTTTCATATTTTTCTCTTTCTTCTTCTTTTTTCTTTTTCAAATTTTTTTTTTTTGCATTATTATTACCCCTAAATATAGATTTTATCAAAATGTTCCTCATGTCCTAACTCGAGTATTTTTTACAAAAATGTTTGATATGGTTCTACCCTATGTTGGCCCCCAAAGGTTCACTATAAGCCAGGTTAGGATTTATATGTCTAAAGGTTCCTAAATTATTTCTCACATCATTATCCATTATAGAATATTAAGGCACCCCCAATCCTCACCTATTAAAGGCTACAAACAAAAAGGGTTCAATCTAAGTGAAAGTATTTCACTAGCTATTGCGAGTTATTTACCTCATGAAAGCATAGTACCTCATCCCTTCTAAAAGAGAAAGAGCCCAAGTATAGAATTTATATGTGAAATTCAAATGTGAACGTGTGTGGAGGAACAATTCCAACACTTTATTACAAACTCTATCCCAAATGCCCCAACATTTATTAAGAGCAATACATATAGATATTCATAATAAAAAACATACAATAAATGACATAATCAAAATAGGAATGTAATGTATAATCTATATTTTTTTAAAAAAAATCAAATTTAAAGAAATCAAAGTTAAATATTAATTAAGACTATCAAATCAAAACTTAAGATAACACATGATCAATTTTGACCTGACTCTTTAAAAAAAAAATGATGTTTCTAATGCAGTCACCAAGTTGTCATAATAATTTTAAGAACCGTTAGACGAAAATTTTTAAAAAGTTTCAAAATAGGAGAGATGGGTCTCAGGTCATGGCTTCGGTCCGATCGAGTCTTCGATCAAATCCAACTGGCTCGTTTCTTCTACTTACTTTTTTTTTCATTATAAAACCCATATCTTTTTTTCTTGTCTCATTTTTTCTCCTCTTAAAAAAAATCCATCTTCTCTCCTAGAACAAATAAAAGCCAAGCCAATCTTTCAAAAACCAATTTTCAATCGTCGACAACCGATCAGACCTTACTGGCAGTCGACTTTCAGCATTTTTTCTCTTTCCAAAAAATAACCTTGAACTCCTTTTGACCTTATCGTCATGAATCCAAGCTCGAATTTTCCTAAATTGTCCTCTAAAGTCTTAGATTTGAGCTTGAAACCCAAATTTTCAAACCATTGTAAAATTTATCTCACCTTTCGATTTGGCCAAGATTTCAATATATTGTTCCTCTATTCTTCCTCTTCTTTTCCACAATCTGAATCATCCAAAGGAAGTCACCATGGACCACCCTTACATTGCCATGACTTTTCTGCTATCACTGTCGCTGGCCATGGCTCTCCTCCTTGATTCTTTTACTTCATACCAAAATAAGAACTCATATACTACTTGAAACCGAAAATGTTCTAAAAAAAACCAAAACTGTTGCTTTTTCTTTTTTTTGTTATTTTTCTTGACTGGAATCCTTTATAAAGGATTGTGGTTGTTTATGATTTTTTTTTTTTTTACTTTGTTGGCCTTTGGATGGTTTTTATGAGTTTAGAATGAAGGCCACTAAGGAATGTTGGGTATGGTTGTGGGGGTTTCAATTTTGGGAGGTTGGTAGGCAAGGGGATCTTGATGTGGTAGCTTCGGATAGATGATGATGAAAAGGCAAATAATGGCAGCGCAAACTGGTGAAGGGAGAGGCTATTTAGGATGGATAGTTCGGTTAAGATCTTCGTTTTAGATGTGATGGTTTTTGGTCAACTTTGAGAGGCGTAATAGGGCTGGAATTTTTCTTTGGGTTTTTCATCTCTGTAAATTTTGGCTCCCTCCAAAATAGCTTTCCTTTGGTTATTGTAGAATCACTATTTAGATAAGACATAGAAATTCAATGTTTTGCAGAGTTGTTGTAGCAAGCTGTTCCATTTTGGATGATGTGCTTGCTACCATCTTAGTTATAAGTTTTGATTTTATTAATCCATGTTAGAGGGTCAGTAAGGAAAAAGAGGAAGTGAAAATTGTAAAGTTAGAAATGGGCAAATGAATTCAAGAAAAGAAAAATGAAAGGAAAGGAAGCTATTAGCAACCGAGTTTTTTTTTTTTTCTTTTTTTGACCTTTTTGAATTTTTTGAATTTGTCAATTAATTAAAAGCAATAAAATGAAATTGAGCCTTAAATTAGGATTTAAACTCACATTAGACTTTTAGGCCTTTAAGTCTAAATTACTAATTTTTGATTTGATCCAAATTGAATTAGGTTGGGCTTTGACATATGCAAAATGATTAAAACGATTACAAAGCTCGTTCACAAATTTGTCTAAACACTTAAATTAGATCAAATTGAAATAGTTAAATCAAGTATAAAAATGACCTAAATCAAGTCATTTCAGATAAAATTCGATATTTACATAAGTTAATAAGTTAATATGAAAAAAATTACATAGTTAGTAATTAATATAAAATCAATTATTATTATAACAAAAAGAAAAAGCATCAATTGGGCTTGATTTGGAGCATGAATCATAAAATGGATAAGAACTCCAAGATGACCCGACCTAGTTAAAAGATGGCAATAGGGTATTGTTAATTTTAAGGTACTTGTACTCGATCTTAACCTTTATATGCAATATTCATATTTTATTCCAATCATTTAGTAATAATCTATTAAATTTTAAATCTATTTGTTTAATTAAAAACAATATGAATATTTATTAAAACAGTTTGATTAAACTCGAATTTAATAGGAAAAAATTTTCTTTATGTGTGTATATTTTATTAATCAAAATTAAATTAATAAATTTAAAATATATTTATACTTAAATAATTTATAAATTTTAATAATTAATTTGTAAATTATAAATAATATATACATTAAAAGTAATATAAATGTAAAAAATTTTAGTTAATAATCGAATTTAGCTAACATGTCTAAGCTAATGATCCGTACCTCCATAAACCTGTTTGTAGCTATCATTCTTACTTATATTATGTTTGGATAAATATTAATAAAGGAAGGAAAAGAAAAAAAAAGTCTTTTAAAGTAAAGAAAGGATACATGTAACCCTTATTTGGATAATTAAAATTAATAAAAAAAAAGAAAGAAATTCCAACAACCATTGTTTATATAGAGAGTGAAAAAGAAAGTAAATGATTCATTATAATAATTTTTTTCAATTGTAACATTTCATTACTTATGATTTTAGAGTACTCTTGGATCATGATATGTTTAGTATCTTTTTTAGCCTCACAATTACTGTTATATCAATGGTTTTTAATCAAGTGAAACAAAAAGATATTTTACAAACATGCATTAATGAATTTTGAGCTAGTTTGACATCTCATAAACCAAAAAAAAATATCTATTTATACATTCATCAAAATCAAATCGCTAAAAAATTATAAAAAAAAATTTATATTGGAAGATATATATGAAACTCACTTAAAAAAAAGATGGCTTTAAAAAAATTACAAAATGATTGTAATCTGCTTAAGTTTTTTTAATTAGATTTTTAGTGTTAATAAAAAGATGGACATAATAATTTTTTTATAAAAAAAATTTTAACTTTCTTTTCACTAACTTTCCCTCCAAATTGAGATATTAAAAAAATTGAGTTTATAAGGAAAACCAAAGGTCATTTGGTTTTCACTTCTTTCTTGTTCTTTAAATTAAATATTTATCCAAACAAGAGAAATGGGTTTTGTTTCCTTTACTTTTCTTTACTTTCCTTTCCTTTCTTTCTTCTCCCATCGATCTAAACACACCTTATACTATGTTTGGATAAATATTAATAAAGTAAAGAAAAGGAAAAGAAAATAAAGAAAAATAAAGTTTTTTAAAAGAAAGGAAATGATACATATAACTCTTGTTTGGATAATTTAAATAAATAAAAGAAAGAAAAAGAAAGGAATTCTAACAACCATTGTTTGAATAAATAATGAAAAAGAGAGGAAATAATTTATTATAATAATTTTTTTTAATTATAACATTTCATTATTGATAATTTTAGAGCACTTATAGATTATGATATATTTGCTAACTTGTCTGATCTCACAATTGCTGTTATATCAATGGTTTTTAATCAAGTGAAACAGAAAAATATTTTACAAATATACATTGATAAATTTTGAGCTAGTCTGACATCTCATAAACTTAAAATATATATCTATTTATATTCAGTCATTCATCAAAATTAAATCATCAAAAAATTATAAAAAATTTTATATTAGAATATATATATATATATAACTTACTTGAAAAAAAAGATAACTTTAAAAAAATCATAGAATAATTGTGATCTGCTTAAGTTTTTTTATTAAATTTTTAGTATTAATAAAAAAAGACATAATAATCTTTTTATAAAAAAAAATTCAACTTTTTTTTCTTTATTTTTCTTTTAAATTGAAGTATTAAAAAAATTAAATTTATAAAAAAAACCAAAAATTATTTATTTTTATTTTTTTTATTAAATATTTATCCAAATAAAAAAAAAAAAAAAAAACAAGAGGTTTTGTTTCCTTTATTTTTTTCTTAATTTACTTTCCTTTCCTTTCCTTTCTCTCTCTCTCTCTCTCCTCAATCTAAACATAATGTTAGTATCCAATAACAAGGGATACTCCTTCGATACTCCAACCGTAGCCTTCCAAAAACCCGGTCGAGTCAATTTGTCACTTCCAAGAATTAGAAGAAACAAAATATTAGATTATTATTGAAGTGAAAAGAAGAGTTGCAGAAGAGATGAAGCTAACATGGAACAGAAAAACGAACAACAAGAAGCGGTCCTTGGACGCTATAGCAAACTACCCTAACCTTCCCTTTGATCAACATAAACCATCTGCCGACGATACTCAGCTGCAGAATGGAGAACCCGCAGCTTCTCAAAATCAAGAGAAACCCTCTGCTGATGCTTTGGATTCTGACTCTCAACAACTTGCCCAATCTTTCCAAGCCCAAGGCAACAAGCTTGCTGAGGTTTTTCTTTTTCTTTTTCTTTTTCTTTTTCTTTCTTTCTGTGCTGTTTCCAATTAATTGATTTTAGGTGTTGAAAAAGATATAATCTTTGATTGAATTATCAAATGGGTATTCAGTAAAGAGATTATACTGTCCTTACTTATGTAATTTTATGTGTTGATGGTGACGAATTTTACCATTTCATTGACTGATTATGGGAGTTTTGCCCATATTTTCATTGTTATTCTGATTCTGTTTCTTTTGATATGTCCCCCTCCCCCTCCCTCTTTTTAATTTGACTAAATTATAGTGCTACGAGAGGAAGTAACCCAAAATGGATTTAGTTCCAGCCATGAAAAGGAATTGAGGCAATCTAACAGGAAAAAGAAGGGTAAAAAGGGCGAAGAATTGAGTTGAGCTTAGATACTGTTAAATGGTAACTAGGCTTGTAGTTTCCATAAGCATGAAACGGTGGTACTTTTGTTTATCTGTTTATTATTGTATTTTGGCATACTTGATGTAATGTATTCATTCTAATAGCTAATCTATTTTGAAGGATGGGAAATACCGGGAAGCACTTGGGAAGTGGGAGGCAGCTCTTAATTTGATGCCTGAAAATGCAGTTTTGCTTGAACAAAAGGCACAAGTTCTACTTGAAATCGGGGATGCATGGAGTGCATTGAAGGCAGCGACTCGTAAGTTTCAGTTCCTTTTTAACTTATGTGTCTGGATGCAGTTTTTAGATGGTTGTATTTCAATGGCATTATTTAAATGCATCTTTCATTTAAAGCACCTTATTAGACAAATGAGAAGTTCTCGAATCCAATGCGCGATATATTCAGTATGTGTCTACAGTCTACCTTTGAATATGCTATGTGCTTTGGCTTTGTGCTTGTTTGTTTGTTTGTTGAAATATGAATATATAAGTTTAAAATTTTTGTATGCTCATCTGTGGGTTCACTTGGCAGGTGCAACTGAATTGGAACCATCATGGCCTGAGGTATGACAGCATTGTAACCTGAATGCAATGTCAAATATTGAGCTTTATTGTTTACCTTTAAAAACATCATATCCCCTTTATAATTCTGTTCCATAAACATGATGCTTATAATTCTCAAAGGATATGGAACTTTTCTAACTGGTAGTCTGTTAATAAATGCAACTATTGAGCTCATTTGCATGGTTTTACATTTGATATTTTGTAGTCTATCATCAAATTAGTGATGCCCACAAAGCTGCAGAATTTAATTAATTTGTAATATTGATCCATAAAAGTGGTTGAGTTTCCACATGGGCAGCTAAGCTTCCTTAGGTTTCCCATGCATGCTACATGTTTGATGGTTACCAAATGCTGAGATATTGTAATTGAATGGCTTCTTCTGTTAATTACTTCATTACATCAAATTTCTAGTCAAAAGTCCCTTTTTGCTTTTTAGTTTTTGTTCTATGCCAAAGGGCTCTTTTATTACTTATGAGATTGGATTTTTTTCAGGCATGGATTACTCTTGGTAGAGCACAATTAAACTTTGGAGAGCCTGATAGTGCCATTGAGAGTTTTGATAGAGCATTAGCTATTAAGGTACATTTTCGATACTTGTCATTGCTTAGTGCTTTGCCCGTCCTCTTACTTTGAGGAAGTGTGCTGTGCTGGATCTTTGAGCTGCTGCTTATATTTTTATGTCTATTTTCCTTGGTTAAATTTGTCTACAACCCTGCATTCTTATCCTGGGTAGAGGGAAATTGTTGGGCAAAGCCAGCAACTGAACTATTATGACAAAATTTTATCTTCTTTGAAATGCCAATCAAAGTATATTATCGATATTGTTTGACAAAATGTTGAGTTTTTGCCACATGCAGCCCCTGTGAAATCTATTTATTCTTGATAGTCATTTCCTTGTTTATCTCTTACCACATTGTACACCCTAGTTAATAGGGAGTCTGCATGCTTATAAGCCTTTTTAGACTTTATGCTTTATTTTATGTTCAGATTTAATGTGGTCAGGTTTACTAAAGTCTTATCTTTTAGCAGCCTGATTCTGTGGAGGCACAAGATGACAGGAAAACTGCATTGCATCTAATAAAGAGAAGAAAGCAGCTTCATTCATCAGGCTTGAGTACTGATACAAACCGTTATATGGTAGGTGATAGGACTGAGGCGTCCTGATTCTATACGAAGAGCAATTGTTACTGATAGAAGGAATGATATTTGGAATTGATAAATCAGTCGGTGGATAAAGGATATAGCACAATGGTGGAGTCCTCAAGTTAGCATGGAACTTGGATGCAACAGCTATTTGACCGAAATTTTTGGATTTGCTTAGAATTTGGCTGCAAGGAAGAATTTTGTGGACAGAATGTCGGACATTTTGGCTTTGTGAAAATTTGTGCGAATGGGGGATGTTTCTGGCTTCTAGTAAACCTTTATTAATTTAAACTATGACACAATGTACAGATAAATTCTCCATAATATTGGGGCATTGTCAGAACATCCCTTTGTTTGTCAGCTTCAAAGTGTCTTTAAGAAAAAGAAAAGGAAAAAAAGAGAAGAGTTGTGCGTATTTGAAGGCAATCCTGACTCTTGCACGAGTTTCTTTCGGCCTTTGGTGTACTATGATTAATTTTCTCGAGTACAAGACAGGCTCAACTTCAGCGCTGCTTATATTGTCTCCTTTGATGAATAATCACATCTTATTCATAAGCTCTAAATAGCTATCCCGATGAACAACATCAACATCTCCAGTTTAAAACCAACCACCCTCTAGCACGCATTAAGATGTAGCTGTTGGGTCCTTTAGGTAACCAAGCATTACGGGCTCACCTTTGACAACAATTTCTCCAAGCAATAAACCATCTATTTTTATACTAGTTTCTCTCTCAGGATCCACCATGCACATCCATTTCCATTAACCCAATTGTCCTCACCCGTTGCCTGGCTCTTAACCTGGCTCTCTGTGACACGGCCAATGTATTCCATTGTTCTTTCCATGCACACGACAGAACGAACCCAGCTGTTTCAGTTAACCCATACCAATGACTCACTCTAAAACCTAAGGACTGAGCCCGCAACAGCAGCGTTGCTGACACTGGAGCCCGTGCTGTAAGGAATTGAACCGGTTTTTCCAAATGTTCATTAGTTAGTGAATTTGATACCACCATTTTAAGCACCACTGGCGCACCACAAATGTGGGTAACATTGTGTCTTTCTATTTAGTTATAAATTATGGATGCATCAAATTTTCTTGGGCAAATGTTGGTACCACTTACGGCAGCCATGCCCCACGTCTAACACAATCCATCGGCATGAAACATCGGGAGAGTCCACAGAGAAACAGGATGATGTGGGACCGACTAATCAATCAGAGCGAACTAACGGTATTGATGCATAGCCCCTGTGGCAATGTACAACTCATATTGGAGATGATGTGGTGCCCGATGTGTAGTTTAGTACCATTGGATCCCACTCTCACTCTGGTCGGACCCACTTGAAACCAGGATCACCTTTCCCTAACTTGTTCTAATTCTTGTCAACGAAATTATCAACTATGTATGACGAGGAGGGTTCATCTATTAGCTCAAAAGTCTTGATCCAATCATATCAGTAAAAATAAAATTAAAAAATTAATTAATCACACAAAAAATAATAATTTAATATAATTTGATCCAACCTATTTATGTCTATAGATAAAAACAAAAATTCACTAGTTGTAAAAAATTATATACATACAATAAATCAATCTCACTCAATAATTAATACTTATATATCCATTTTAATCTCATGTAATTCTATAGAGTATTTTCAACCCAAATAAAAACCTATCTATGTGCATTCATGTATCATAGCTATGTAGACCCTCTCAATTTTTTCTAATTCACTCACAAACATACAAATATATATACTCATAAGATGTAAATCTTCAGTGGAGTATTTATCTCATAAAATCTTATAATTTTCTTACATCTTTTTTTTATACCTAACTCTATAAAACTCCATCTATTTATAAGCATACAAATTTATCTATTAATAATATTTTTTTCTCGTAGAATTCTTCTTTTATAAGTTAAACTTGCTTATTAAAAATCTATTTTCTCTTAGAATTGTTCTTCTATAAGTTTTTTTGTTCATCAAGCAATATCAACCAATCTCAAATAAATCACTTATGGGATTTGAGTCACTATTCTTAATAATTTACACCTTAACTAAAATTTCATCAATCATCAATCCTTATGCTAAACATATTTTGCTCCACTTGCAATGAAAGTGTCACAATCTTCTCTTGTGTATTTTCACGCTTCACACAAAATAATCCTCAAAATATAAATTTAAACTTCTTTCTTGAATCAAGCTTTTCTAGATTTGCCTATTCCCATAGCTGAAACTTTTAGTTCTGATACCACTTATCAAGCCAAAAGTCTTCAATTCAATCACACTAACGAAAGCAAAATCAAATAATTAATTAATCAAACAAGAGATGACAATTTAACGTGATTAGACCCAACCAACCTACGTCCATAGACGAAAAAAAATTCACTAGTTATAGAGAATTATAAACATACAATAAATTAATCTCACTTAATAATTAATACCTATAGAGCCTCTCAATCTCCTCTAGTTCTATGAAGTATTCTCAATCCAAACAAATACATACACATGTGCACTCATACATCATATTTATATGGATCCTCTCAATCTCCTCTCAATCTCCTTTAATCTACTCGCACCTATGTAAATCTTCTCAGTCTCTTCTAATTCATTCACACTTATCTGACTCTCTCAGTTTTCTCTAGTTCACTCACAAACAAACAAATATACACACACATAAAATATAAATTTTCAATAGTTTTATAAGATATCTATCTCATAAAATTTTATAACTCTCTTATATTTTTTCTCATATCTAATCTTATAAAAATTTTATCCATTTATAAGTATATAAGCTTATTTATTAAGAATTTTTTTCTTTTTAAATTCTTTTTTTACAAGTTAAATTTATCTATAAAAAATTATTTTTTTATAATTTTTTTAAATATTTTTTATCTATCAAATAATATTTAATTAATTTTAAATAAATTACTTACAAAATTTAAGTTACTATTCCAACATCATCATCGTTTACGAGGACGAGTAATGGGACATCAGCATGGACCGGAACAGGGCTATAGCTTCAAGAACGACAGAAGCAAATTGATAGTCAACCAAGACGAGCTTCGATTCGCTGTGGTAAAGGATTATCGATACAGTGCGCGCATCTAGGCGAATATTGATGGTATTGAGGATGGCCACATGCGTAGGGGCAGCAAAATGAACCTCATACGTGGCGGGGATATTGGGAGCCACGACAGACACCACTTGGCCTATCGTGATCCCCATGGACCACAGCGACGTTGCCACCTGTAATGATCGACGGTGAGTTTGCAACCATGCATTTGTAAGTCGATTCATTGAACACAATGGAAGGGTAATCCCCGTAAGCTATGGCAGCTCCCTCCAATAACCCTTGTGTTGTAAGTGGGGTTGAATTTGCTGTTGCCCCTTGCCTTGGTTGCTCCATTAATTCTGATTTTGGTTAATAACGGTGTTTAAGTTCTTAAATTTTTGGGAAATAATTTTTTTTTTTGGCCTTATTTGCTTATGTAAGTTTCCTATATCAGAAAGTGTCTTAATTAACTACTCTTTCTTGAATACATTTCAATTAGAGTTAGGACCAAAGAGTTAAGAAGAAAGCTAATTAATATTGTAACTCAAAAATTTTCAATAGAAAGCAAGAAAATGGGCTGTCGTATAGAAATTGGCAGTTCTATATCCCCATTAGTTTAGGGGATAGGGCAATCTCAAATTTTCGTACAAAAATTAAAAAAAAAAAATTCGGTGCCAACTTCGCTTACATAAGTGAAGGTGATAACTTAAATTAATATTTGTTTATTTAATTTGGGAGCAGAGACATCCCGGAAAATCACTAATACACTTGTCCAAGTAATTAAAATAATACTAGAATTAATTGTAATATGATGATTGATAAGGTATTTATAGTAAACATGTCAATTACAACGGACCGAGGAAGCATCCATGTAGATTCATTATTGATATAATCTAGTTATATTATATTTTATTTTATTTTTTATATATAAAAACCAACTCCAAAAATGCATTGCATATATACCTTTCATAATCTTTTAACTTTTTGATCTTTAATTAATGATTTTTTTATTAAATTAAAATATTAACTAATTTTTAATTTCCTTATTAATTAGCATTGGAATCCTAATTAAAGTAAACTTTCCATAGTTGATTATTATTTATTAAATTTAAAAAGCTATCATATATGTGTGTATATAAATATATGTACACATATTTATATTTATAATTTAAATATTTTTTAAAAATAAAAATTAAACAGGGACAGATCAAAAAGACCTAGTAATAGCAACAAGAGATAAAGGTGAACACCACTTATGTATGATTAATTATTAACCCTTATGACCCACATCATATTATGGAGAAGAATGGTTTATTATATTCTCGTTAACTAAATCCAAAGTTAGTAATCATATTACCCAAAATGATCCTAAAGTACAAACAATATATATCATAGTAATTGGTTTTTTGAAAGGCATATAATAATTAGTACTATCATCTTATCTCAAGCAAAAATCCCATTTAATTTACATGGTTAAAAATGAGATAAGATTAATTTATCTTAACATACTTAATGCTAAATTTCTATATGACATATCATGGATAAGAAAAACGTTCATTGATCTTGCTTAGTGTTCAAGAAATTAAATAAAATAAGAAAATAAATCAACTTCATCTTAGGCAATATCGTCTTGATTTTGTTGAAAAACACACACAAATAATTGGGTTCATGTGCAGCAACATGATTTTGAGGGTAAAAACCAAAAAAAAAAAAAAAATTCCTTAATGAGAATTTATCAAGAATTTATGGGCAAGACTAGCAATTTCACTTTAGAAAAAACTTCATTTAATTTTTTTTCAAATTTTATTTATCCTCTAAAAAAGAGATCTCATATATTTATTACAAGCAATTAATTAGCCAGTTAGGCTTATTAATAAAACTGTTCCAATGTGAATAAATACACTTTTTTTTTTCATATTGACAAAAGTAAAGGATTCAATGTCATTTTTTTTTTTAAACATAAGATAAGCCATGAGAAAAAGAGAAAAAAATCTTGAACCCGAATCTCTATATCTTCTTAAAAGCTCTTTCGTCATTAGGGTAAAGAGCTGAGAACTCAATTTCAATTCTTTAAACAAAAAATATATACATACTAATTATTGAATCATATGTTCGGCTGCAAGCATTTTATTACAAGAACCAAACTTTTTTATCCCAAAAAAGTTTGAGAAAAAAACAAAAAAAAATTTCTTTTGGAGGATATAATATAACCAATGAACCATTAATTTTTAAACTGAATTAGAAACACAATGCACAATAACATATGTGCATGCATGAAACGCAGAAACAAAAAATTTACCAAGTTGCCAAACCGAGTGCAGCCCGAGTCAACTCAACTCGCAGCCTTTGCAATTCCCCTGAGAATAAACTTCTGTACTTTCCCTGTTGAAGTCTTGGGAAGCTCTTCCTCAAACACCACCGTTTTCGGCACCATATAATGCGGCAACCTATCCCTACAATACTCTATAATCTCTTCCTCACTTGGTTTCTGACTCAACTCATCAATATTCTTCTTCAAACTCACAAACGCACACGGCGTCTCACCCCAAAACTTATCAGGCCGAGCCACCACAGCCGCCTCATTAACCGCTGGATGTGAATACAATACTGACTCAACTTCAGGACTGCTTATGTTTTCTCCACCACTTATAATTATATCCTTTGAACGATCCTTGATTTCCAAATAACCATCAGGGTGAATTACCCCAACATCCCCAGTGTACAACCAGCCATTTTCTCTCATACATTTGGATGTTCCTTCAGGGTCTTTGAGATACCCCAACATGAGACACCCACCTCGTAGAACAACCTCGCCAAGTGTTTTCCCATCACGTTTGACACTTTCTCCTGTCTCGAGATCCAAAACGTCTGCTTCCGTTAAAGCAACAGAATTAACTCCTTGCCTTGACTTTAGCCGGGCTCTTTCTGTTAACGGCAACTTGTTCCATTTCTGTTTCCATGCACATGACACAACGATTCCTCCTGTTTCAGTTAATCCGTAACCATGACCCACCACAAAGCCCATTGACTCGGTCCTGGCTAGCACTGGTGCAGGTGGGGGTGCACCAGCGGTTAGAATTTGGACAGGGTGGTCTAGTGGTTCGAGGTCTGGAGAATTTGATAGCATGTTGAGCACCACAGGCGCACCACACATGTGGGTCACCTTATGTTGTTTAATCAAACGGTAAATCATTGTAGGGTCAAGCTTGCGGAGGCAAATGTTGGTCCCTCCTACGGCAGCCATGCCCCAAGGGTAACTCCACCCATTAGCATGGAAAATGGGTAGAGTCCACAAGTAAACAGGCTGATTCGGAACTGACCAATCAACCAAAGAATTCACTGTGATTATGAAAGCAGCCCTATGGCTTAGGCTCACACCTTTGGGACTAGTTGTTGTGCCTGATGTGTAGTTTAACACCATTGGATCCCACTCACTCTTAGGCCTGACCCACTTGAACTTTGGATCGCCATCTTCCAATATACCCTCGTAATGATCGAGAAAATCAACGGTTGATGATGGGTTTTTGCTTCCCGACTCCTTCTCGTCATCAATGAGGACAAGGACTGGGGGTTTGGTGTTTCTCGGAAACAAAGCGATCGCCTCATGAACAAGCGAACTAGATTGGTGATCGACAAAAACAAGCTTGGATTCACTGTGTTGTAAGAGTACAGACAAAGTCTTAGCATCAAGGCGAGTGTTGATGTTGTTAAGGACAGCCCCGGACATGGGGACAGCAAACTGGAGCTCGTACATAGAAGGAACATTGGGGGCGACAACCGAAACCACTCGGCCTCGTTCGATGCCAAGGGAGGTCAACGACGATGCCATCTGGAGACATCGACGGTGGGTTTGCGACCACGTATATGAAACGTTATTGTAGACGACGGAAGGAGAGTCGCCATAGGCGGTGGCAGCTCTCTCCAGGAAGCCTAGAGTTGTTAGAGAGGCAGAGTTTGCAGGGTTTGACAAAAGGAGTTCCATTGACATGAAAACAAATGGGGTTTTCGTGCCTTTTTTCGTTGAAAATGATAATCTAACTTGTGAAGATCTTTTATAGACAAAAAGAATTACAAAGGTTTCGTGTTAAAATTAAAACATTGGAAGTTATAAGATTTTTAACATTGTTTAAATCAGTTTATAGAATTAAAAGTGAACCCCAGACGACTCCAAATTAAGGATAAGTTTGGTTGAAGTCTGCCCTATCAAATCAAGTCATTCAAGATTCTTTGCCTGTCAATGCCCAGTTAGCCTCCTAATAAAATTTATAATGCATATGATTTTTGTTTTTTTTTTCTTTTTAACAATTTAGGTGTCATTATCTTAAAGGTAGGGTTAAGATGGAGAAAGCAATTAATTGACATAAACCTAATTAATTTTACTATTACCGGAATTTTTTTTTCATATTAAGCTGAGGTCACTGCAAAGCAAATTGAATAAGTACAAAATTCACAAGAGAATATCTAATAATTAAATCCCTAATTAGCTTTAAAATTCAAAAAAAAATTAGGTACAGTTCATCTTTATGTTTATTTATAATAAGGATTCGCTTAAAGTTAAAGTTTTTCATATTAATCGAAATTTTTGGGATATATATTAAGCAGATTCTTATATTTGATCATCACCTCTTTTACACTAGTTATTCATGCAATGCTGTTATTTCTATTTTTTTAATTTGAAAATAATATTAAGTTGAATTCTTTATCTATTAACTTAAATTTTTAAGGCAATTAGTTATATATCTAACTATAGATAATATTAATGTATCACATATATAGTTTTTCATCATTTAAAAATTAATGTTACATCTAATATAGTACGTGAAAAACTTTTTCTCAGATAATAGAGGCAAAGAGAAAAAATTAATAAAAAAAAAAAAAAGCCAAACAATAATTTTTAAGGAAAAAAGGACCAAATAATACTTTGATGGAGCTAATCATTGGATAATAAAGGTGGTAAAAATTTTGGAGGGCCATGGATTCTGCATGCCCTCTCTCTAGTTCCGCCCCTGTCAAATGAAAGAATAAGAGAGAGGAGAGAAGAAGAATGGATTATCAAAATCCGTCACGAATGAGTATAATCATCGTAAAAGAGAGTATTACCAACAAAACTTTCAGTCGAAGGTGAAAGATTCTTTTGTGGTGGTCCCTTTGGCAAACCAAACCGCAAGCCAACTATATTTAAAAGGAAATTTTGTCATTCTAAAGAATATAAAAATGTTTTTTTGTTATTATGATAAGTATATATATAAATTAAATTCCTCAACTCTTCAAATCTAGTTTAGAATTTCCACGTTCTTATAAAAAATAAAATAAAATTTATATTTTTCCAAATATAAATTTGCAACTAGTCGATCAGTTTTTTACATTTAAGAAAGCTATTTTCCATTAGAATACATCATCTTTTTCCAGGGAAATTGATAGAAAATAGGCACCCAAATCTAATTGAAGTAATAGTAATATTTTCTCTTTATTTTTTTTCCTTAAAAATATCAAGCTAAAGCTAATTCTGGTTCATTTACGCAGCTTATGACCAAAGCAACTTACTGTTGAACCATATATCTTAGAGAACCAAAAACATGTAGCACATGCGTACGTAATGTGTTTGAGTGGATGATTATAGCTTTTTTTTTTATTATTTGGATTTAGTGCAAATGGATCAATGAATACTATTATCATGTATTTATATATTAATTATTTCTTAGCCTTTAAGGAGCAAGCATCATCAAATGCTTCTTATTCTTATTTACATTGTGTAACAATGTTAATTTATATGGTAAAAATTATCATAAAATTTCAGGTTCAAAATTTATTATGTATGAATTTAATCCAGTCTTTAATTTTATAAATACTTATTTAGTTTTGTTGGCCCGATAATTATTTAATTAATTTCTTATATGAGATGTAATTTTTAATTATAAGAATAACTTCATCAATCAAATAATGAAAATTTTTTAAGAATTATAAGAATAACTTCATCAATAAAATAATGAAATTTTTTTAAGTATAAAGCTAATAAAAAGATAGTCATTTTATATAATTAGTAATGACATAAAAATAATGGGATGAAGATAATTAAAACTATAATCCTAACTTTAATTAATATACTTTTTCTTTTTTAATGTTTCGATCGATCTAAAAAAAAAAAAAAATTAAAACTGAATTAATTGCAATAAAATATCAAAATTTTAAATAATTATTAAATTTTAGTTCAATTTTTTTTATCCTTTTGCTAACTTTATTTCCATGACAGCCAAATAAAAACAATCACAAATAATCTCGATTTTAGCCCAACTTTTTAACCATTATGCATGGTTCTATATGTAACTGCAGTTAATTTGACAACTCTTTTTTATTACAATATTTTAATATACCAAACTAAGCTTAATTCATCTGTAACTTATTTTTCGAAATCAGCAATATTATGTTTATTTAAAAAAAAAAAAAAAAACAATGATCTTTATTTCCCTTTAAAAACAATGGTCTTCTTTTTTTTTTTTAATTTGATTAGAAGTATTTAGATTTTTTGTGGGCCTAATTCCCTCCCAAGCGATTTTAAAAACGCTTTTTTTTTTTTTCATAATTCCTTCATAATTTAATTCACACCCTCCACAAGAATTGGTAATTATACTATATTGTTTCCTCATTATACATATTTACAAAAAACAAAGGTTTTTTTTTTTGAAGTAATTAAGAAAAAGTGTATCTTTTTCAATTAATTAATCCCACTGATCCACTGCCCTAAAATCAATCCAAATAAACACCAACATTAAGTGTATATAGATAGAGAGTAGATTTGACCCAAAAAAAAAAACCCTAAAAACCTAACAAATTTTCATGCCTGACGGCTAAGGACAAAAGCTTTGGTTGCCACTTGCTGCTCGATTAATTACATATAGCCAAAAAGCTATGGCAGAGCTATATACACATATGTAAACTGAATTAATGGATACAAAGTGCCATGCAATTCTCCAATATTCTCCTATCGACTTCGATCTTAACTAGTCTCTTAGGTCCACACCCTGGACATTTTTATGATAGCAACTAAATAACTAATTTTTTCTTTTGTGGTTTAGACAAAAATTAGAATAATCCGGTGCTTGTCCATTCATAATTAAATGCAAAAACGTCCAACTTCAAATTCCTAGCATCCAAAGCCTAGATAACTGAGTCCATTAATTATTATTTTTAATACCCCACATGCATATAACTTGACTCAATTTGAAATCCACTTCAGTTCACTCAATTTGAAATTAATTCAAAATTTTTAATTTAATACAATATTTTATAAAATATTATTTTTAATGTAAATTATATCTTAATTATATATAAATATAATATTTTATTAAATTAAAATATTAAATACTAACTTTATTAGTAATATATATATATAATTAAATAAATAATCAATTATATATTTCTACATATCAAAAACCAATCGAGACAAGACAAAACATCCTTACTCATCGATAATGTAGCAACTACAAAATGCTTCCACAATAAAAGTAACTTACTCATCGACAATGCTCCATAATTGAATGAATCTACGTGCTTCAACAGTGTCATTTTTTTTGTCACACAATTTTGTATGACCTGTAGTTTTCTCCTTTGCCACATTAAGAAAAATATAATTAACCATCAATATAGAAATATATGTTACAACTTACTAATTCAGAATCTGTTTGAATTGATTTTTCTAATTGATGAAAAAAAAAATGAGATTAAGCAAAAACAAAGACAAAGATGAAAGGTTAATGAAAGAACATAGAGCCAACTCACCTAGTGAGGAAGCAAAAATGATGCACCAGAGCACGGCTAAAGGAAAATTATCCTTGACTTTTCAGTTTTCATAGCTACATACAGGTCGTTTGGTCAGAGTTTTCTCCAAATTATACAACATTGCTGAGATTCATCTGCTTCTGATAACCTCCTCTAAACTAAGTAATTCTCATAGTACAACCTAACATCACTTCAAAAATCCCTGTTAGTGGATGATTTTCACCAAACAGATCTAACGGCTGCCCGATCCCCTTAATCAACCAGAGATCAAAGTAGAACACATCATGTATTTGGCAGTGCCAGACAAAAATATAAAGCCTTAGGAATCATGCCTTGCTCACAGCTATGTATCCAAATGCCAGTAAAATTTAATGAATTTACAACCTACGGAAATATCTGTTTCCCAGCTGAAAAAATGACATGAAAATAAGTTGTGGCTCTTGAGTAAACCATAAAAAAGCAAAGGCATTATACCATGAAATCTGAATCTTGTTATGTCCTCCAAATGCAGGGCCCTTTCTAACTCTTCATCTGAATAGCACTTAACTTCTCCTCAAAATGTAGAGTACTAGCAGCAGTTAGAAGCATGTCCACTCCACCTCTACTTTTATCCAACTCCTCTTTGTCTCTATGATTCAGACTTGTTTCCAGATTATCATATGTCATTTTACCTACACCTTCGATTTTCAGCTTATTTTCCAGATTCTGACATGCTCTTTTAGCTCTGCGTATTCGCTGGATCCCAGCATCACATTTTTTGCAAAACCATTTCCCTCTTGGAATTGAAGTTCGTGGTGGTTTGATGCAGTAAATGTGGTATGCGGCATCACAGCCATCACATAAAACAATCTTATCATCATCTTTGTCAACGAGGCAAGCTCTACACAGACAAGAAGGGCAGTACCAGCGTGCACAATATGATTTTAACTGCTTCCTTGTCAGGCACCTTACATGATAATATTTATTGGGGCAGTAGGGGTGCTCACAACACCTTAACTTCTCACGTTTTTCAATGTCCCTTGCACAAATTTTACAAACATATGGGATTTTGCTCTCTGGTGATAACTGAAGCCCATTGTCAACACTACAGTTTGAAATTTCTTCCAATTCACAAAATGTTTCACATTTTGCATTATAATTTTCACCAGCAACATTATTGTTGAGAGTCCTGGGGGCATTCAGTCTCTCACATATCACACAGTTCACATGCGAAGATCCTATTCCATTAGCAGTGCAGCTGGAACAATACCAACTTTTAGGAGGAATCTCCTTCACTGCAGGCTCAAGACAGGCAACATGGTACATTTTCTCGCATGAATCACAAACTAAACAATCCTTCCCATCAGCTTTCTCCCCACAATGCCTGCAAGTGCAAACTTTATACACACCACAAGCTTCATTTTGCTCTGGTTTAGCACAAGATTCCAACTCCCGAGGATAGAACTGTTTTTAATTGAACAAAATTCAGAATATTTCAGGGATGAACTCAACCTTCAAAGCAGATTCTTAACCAATAAATGGAGATCACTTACATGTAAAGATGTAATACAAATGAAAAACTAGAGAAACAGTCCAGGGTAGAATCCTCCTACCAACTTAAAATAAAGATTCTATACAAATGCTAAATTCAAATATCCATCAAAATGCTTTACAAATACTAAATTCAAATAGCAAAGCAGAACAGAATGTCTACTAGATGCCAGCACGAAACCTAGCTCACCCCACCCAATCATAAATACAAGTAGGAAAGAAGGCAACTAACTAACCAGCATGAAAAATAGTATGGTCTACTTAAATTTCTCACACCATTAGAGTGTTTAAAGAAGAAAAACTAAAGTAATAGAGGCCCCAGTTGAAAATTTTGAAGTCCCAAAATGAAGAAAAAGAATTCTATATTTGGGAATCCTAAACACAACCATCAATTCTATGCAATGCAGAACTTCCATTAAAATCTGTAGAAATTCCAAAGTCTTATCCTACCAAACTCTGAAGCACCAAATAAACCCTTAACTACATAATATAGTTCTTTCGTTTCGATACTACCACCTAATAAAGTTAGAATGCACCTATAACTAAAATTTAAAGATACAATAATGCATTTTGCTGATACAAGCAAGCCAATGCCTACTAGAAACTAATTCATAAATGTTTACCTCATGTTTCTCCTCTTCGACAGCACCATGAGGGCAGCCAACCTGAAAGGTTGAAGAAAAAGCATCACAAAGAAATCATAACAAAATACTCAATATCAACGCAATAAATTTTTAATCAATTACAAAAATTCAAATAACTAGAGTAGCACAAAGCATGTTCTTTAACTCACTTGTTTACCATAGGAAGTGCTTGATATGTTTGAGAGGCTCTTTGCGAGGGATACTATCTCAGTTCCTATTTCTTGAAGTTTTCTCCATACCTACAGAAGTCATTTAGGTTAAGATAAATACATACATACATACATACATGTGTGTGTGTGTGTGTGTGTGTATATGTGTGTGTATATATATATATGTAGGGAACTTAAAAAACAATTGTCCTTATTTCTTCTTATTCTATCTGCAATGAAGGAGTACATCTAAATAAATAGGAACAGTTAAGTTCCTTATTAGGAAACATCTTACATGAAACAGAAAACAAAAAATAATAAAAAGGAGAATTATTCTATTCTAAAATAGAAACAAATCCCTAAAAACTTGAAAATCAGTATAGTTGACTAAGTCAGAAGAGTAAATGAAAAATATTCTCAAAATAAATTAGAAAATCAAGCTGCACTAATGTAGGAGAATCAGATTTCTACACTCCCCTCAAGCTGGGTTATGAATTTTAATCATACTCAGCTTGGATTACAATCCATCAAGAATGCTTCTAGGAAGAGTTTTAGTCAAAATATCTTCAATTTGTGAACTTGTAGGGATATAAGCCAGTTTGACTGACCCATTTTCTATCTTTTCCTTTACGAAATGTCGGTCCAGCTCTATGTGCTTGGTCATATCATGATAAATAGGATTTTTGGCAATCTTATAGTCGCCTTATTGTCACAAAACAGTGTCATAGATGTCACAGTCTGAACTTTTAATTTTTCCAGGAACCTCATCAGCCAAATTCCTTCACAAATATCATGAGACATTGCTCTAAACTCAGCCTCAACACTGCTCCTAGCTACAACAGCTTGCCTTTTTACTTTTCCAAGTGACCAAATTGCCCCAAACATAAGTGCAATATCCCATAATGGACCTTCTATCTGTCACTGATCCAACCCAGTCAGCATCTGTGTACACCTTGACTACCTTGTCCATTGACTTCTTAAAGTATAGACCTTCACCAAGACTCTTCTGTAAGTACTGTAGGATGCGATGAACAGCTTTGAGATGTTCCTTGGTTGGATTATTCATGTATCTACTCACCATCCCTACTGCAAACCCATTATCAGGTCACGTGTGGGAGAGGTAAATAAGCTTCCCAACTAGTCTTTGGTATTGCCCTTTGTCCATGAGAGAGCTTCCATTTTCACTTCCAATTTTATTAGTTGAATCCATGGGTGAATCGGCAGGTTTACATCCAATCATGCCGGTTTCTTTGAGTAGATCAAGTACATACTTACGCTGAGACACTGATATTCCATTCTTAGACTGAGCCACTTCCATCCTAAGGAAATATTTAAGGAACCCCAAGTCCTTTATTTCAAACTCCTTTGAAAGGAGTTTCTTCAAATCATCTATTCCTTTCTTGTGGTCTCCGATGATTATGATATCATCCACATAAACAATAAGAATAAACTCTTTTTCCTTCATTAGTGAACTTAACAAACATAGTATGATCAGAATGACATTAAAGGAATCCATACCTCTTCATTGCCTTAGTCAACTGTTCAAACCAAGCCCAAGGAGACTGTTTAAGTCTATACAAAAATTTCCTGAGTTTGCACACTTTGCCCATGTTGTCTTGCCTTTCAAAACCAGGGAAATTTCCATGTAGACATCCTCCTCCAAGTCACCATTTAAGAATGCATTCTTGATATCAAGTTGGTGGAGAGGCCAATCCAAGTTGGCTGCTAGTGACGATAGAACTCTAATTGAATTGAGTTTGGCTATCGAAGCAAATGTCTCCTCATAGTCTATCCCATAAGATTGAGCGAAATCCCTTGGCAACAAGTCTAGCTTTGAACCTGTTTATACTTCCATCTACATTGTGCTTTATTGTGAAGATCCACTTACATCCAACATGTCCCATTTTTCTCTAGTGCCTTGATTTCTTCAAGAACTACTGCCTTCCAATCTGGTTCATTGAGGGCTTCCTAAATATTTTTTGGAATTTGCACATTGTCAAGGTTAGTAGCAAAGGCTCAAAAGTTTGGATTTAACTTGTCATATGAGATATACTTGTAGATAGGGTACTAAGTGCATGATCTCACACCTTTTCTTAATGTAATAGGAATGTCAAGGTCACTAACTAGCTCACAAGTTTCAGATTCAATAAAGACATTACCTATGTTAGTTTCAGGTTCTTAGAAACTTGGATCAGGTTGATTTTTAGTGTTGAGTTGTATACAGTTGCCCACTTCTTCCTATGGTTTTTGCTTCCTTGAGTAGACTATTAGTTCTTTTGTTTTTTCTTGCATAACCTTCGGGCTTGAAGAGTCAAAAGTTGTCTGAACAGGTTGGATTTCGGAATCTGCATGACTGATAGTTTCAGTAGGTTGAAAATCTAGTTTTGAAGGGGTTGGCTGGGAATCTGATTTTGAAGGGGTTGGTTGGGAAATTGGTAAGTCAATAGCTAAGAATTGATATTCCTGAGAAGTAATCTCCCCCTAAATATCATTCTTGCTGTAGTATGGAAGATTCTCAATAAAGGTGACATCCATAGAGTTATAGAAATATTTTTGTGATGGATGAGTAACACTTATAGCCCTTTTGGTTTGGGGAATAACCAAGGAAGATGCATTTTAAGGCTTTGGGATCAAGCTTGCTGCGATTTTGTTGGCTAATATGAACAAAGGTAATGCAGCCAAAGAGTTTGATGGGAATGGAAGAGATCAATCAAGTTTGTGGGTAGGAAACAAGGAGAGTTTGACAAGGTGTTTTAAAGCCAAGAACTCGAGAAGGCATTCAGTTAACCAAACAAGTTACAGTGAGGACAACTTCTCCCCAAAAATATTTACGCACATTGGAAGTCAACAAGAGGGATATGGTCACTTTTATCAAATGTCTGTTTTTGCGTTCGACAACCCCATTTTGCTGTGGAGTGTCAACGCAAGAGCTTTGATGGATAATGCCATGCTTGGTGAGGTAAGGGCCAAGACTAGAGTTGAAGTATTACCTTCCATTGTCAACTTTTAGAACTTCGAATTTGGCTTGGAATTGGGTTTGTACCATGCTATTGAAGTTTTGAAAGATTTGGCTAACCTCAAATTTTTCTTTCATAAGGAATACCTAAGTAAGTCGAGTATAATCATCGATGAATGTAACAAACCACCTAGAACCTATGATATTATTAACTCTTGATAGTCCCCAAATGTCATTGTGAATCATTGAGAAAGGCTGAGATGATTTATAGGACAGACTAAGGTAGGTATTTCGAGTGTGCTTGGAAAGTTGACAAATTTCATACTGAAAATCTTTAGAAATGTTATTGAATAATGAAGGAAATAGCCTTTTTAGGTATGAAATATTTGGATGTCCTAATCTATAATACCATAACATGATAAGATCATCCTTACTAGTACTAGATGCTAAGGCTGTACAAGAGTTTTATGGTCTCTCAAGAGGATTATCTTAAAGAAGGTAAAACCCTACACACATCCTGGTGTGGGAAAATACTTATTTACAACTGGTTGTAATCTTGTAATCTGTATATTTATATTTGTATCCCTAAAATTAGGATAAACAATCCCTCAATTATAGGATTAGTTTTTTAGGAAGATTTAGTTTCCTAGTTTAACCCCTAGTTAGTTGTATATAAACCTAAGATTCTTGTATAATTCTCAATAAGCAGTTTTCCAACATACATTCAATTTCTACACTGATTTATTTCTTAGTTTTTTCACATGGTATCAGAGCTTTAGGCTTTTCTTGGGAAGCAAAATTTCCAGCCTTCATTGCTGACTTTTTTAAGCCTTCATTGCCGAATCCTGTTTAGGCCTTTATTGCCGAACCCTTTCAAAGAAAGATATCACTACCACCCAATTTGAGAAAATGTTAACTGAAAAAATCACTGGAGTACTACAGATGTCTCAGAAACAAGAAGAGTTCGACAGGGAAGAGATTGAAAAGCTGAGAAACTTATTTAAAATCCTTGAAAAGCCTACTGTGGTATGTTCTTTGGGTAAGGTTTCTAGTTCAGGTAAAACTTTCGGTTCTCATGGATTAAATGTCTCGGCTAAGCCTATTACGAGTTCTTGGCTCATTGACTCAGGAGCCACAGACCACATGACACATTCCTCACAAAAGTTTAATACATATAACCTGTGTCCTAGTAATAAGAAAATTGTTATTGCAGATGGTTCACTTACCTAGTTAGTTGTATATAAACCTAAGATTCTTGTATAATTCTCAATAAGCAATTTTCCAACATACATTCAGTTTCCACACTGATTTATTTCTTAGTTTTTCCACACCTGGCACTACCAATAATCCTCCCCGATCCCAATTCCTGAAATTCACACAAATTGGAAAAAATTTAGTGACACAACATCAATCCTTCGTAAGCTTATTAATAGAAAGTAGGTTACAGCTTAAATTAGGGACATGGAGGACAGAGTCAAGTGTAATGTCTTTCGAAACTACAATAGAACCTATTCCTACCACCTTTGAGAAAGAGCCATCAGCAATTTTTACAGCAAAACTATCATAGCAAGGTTTATATGTGTTGAATAAGGATGCATCTCCAGTCATGTTATCTAATGCTCCTGAATCAACAATCCAAGATTGTGTATTTCCCCATTGAACACTTAAGGCGTTTAGGAATTACCTTTTTGTGCTAGTAAACTAGTTCCAAAGGTTGCAGACTTGTTTTGAAGGGTTTGTTGGAGCATCACCTTTTTGTGACTTTCCTCATGCCATACCTTTGCAGAAGAAGAGTTCTCACTCCTGCTAGCTATAACAGAAACTCGTGTAGCTACAATCTAATGGTTCAAGCCGACTTGCTCTGATACCATGTAAGAAACTTAAAGAACAATTGTCCCTATTTCTTCTTATTCTATCTACAATGAAGGAATACATCTAAATAAATAGAAACAGTGAAGGTACTTATTAGGAAACAGCTTACATGAAACAGAAAGCAAAAAATAATAAAAGGAAAAAGAATTATTCTATTCTAAAATGGAAACAAATCCCCAAAAAACTTGACAATCAAAATAGTTGACTAAATCAGAAGAGTAAATGAGAAATATTCCCAAAATAAATTAGAAAATCAAACTGCTCTAATGTAGGAGAATAAAATTTCTACAATATATATATATATATATATATAGACACACACACACACACATATTAATGTCATCATTAATAAGTGATGACAAAGAGAACTGGATCTTCTGCATGGAACAAGCATTTCATTTTCTTTTTGCATACTTTGCAAGCATTTCTTATATTTTTAGAAAATGCATCAAAATTTAGATTAACATTGTAGTATGCATATTAAAATAAACTATACTCCACTGCTTTGAGTTTCCTCCTAACAAGATTCAAAATTCTTAATGGAACAAACAAATCAAATAAGATGGTTTGGAAACAACTTAAGAACAACATAGATCATTTGGAGATGTGCAATTTGATTCTACTGAAGCACAGGAACAAAAAAAACATTTGGCACAGGAAGAAAGAATGAACAGTAAGGCATCATAAGAGATATCATGAGATATATTCTTTGGAGATGTGCAACTTAGGTCTAGGAAAGCACAAGAACAGCGAATAATTTGACACACAAAGAAAGATGAAAAGTAAAGGTGTCATAAGAGTTGAATGAGGACTAAAGATCTGCCATTGTTTCAAAAAGTATAGCCCTAAACCTAGCAGAATAGGATTAATGTAGCTTGCGCATGTCTATTGCTTTCAACAACAAAGTAAGGAAAACCAAGTACTCTATGATATTCAAAAAAACAAGAGAGAATGTGCAACAAATATACCATGTATACACAAGCATAATCAATAACAAACATGAGAGAAAAATGTTGATATACAAAGATCAATTCTACTGAGCCATTAGACCTTATGCTTACAACTGGAATGAACAATGTTAAGTTTCTTTCAGAAAGATAAATAAACAACTTTAAGCATTCTTCTTACTAAGACCTCCTTGCCTAACTAACTTCTATGCAATCAAGATGACTTGCAATTCATAGGGTCTAATACTCCAGGAAGCTCCTTATGAATGTCAGCATAGTTATATGAATTAAACTTAAACCATGATTTTAACCGAACAACAGCAATTGTTGTAGGAATGGAAAGGACTAAGAAAGACTAGAAAGAGAAAATGATGATTGTCAAGGTAAGTCAACTATCATAGCTGACGTGGCTCAGATTCGAAAGCCTTGTGGAACAATTCGAGATTGAATCAAACTTCTTGAGCTCTATTCCAACGATCAAGCAAGGCACCCCAGTTCCTTATCATTAAAGCCATCAAAGAGACCTGCTAAACACCAATCAATCCTGGAAACTTTCCTATATTTTACAAGGCAGAAGACTTTTATTGCAGACTGGCTCACTAATGAAAGTCTTACAGAGCCAAAAGGAGTTGAAATACACTAAATTCCTCAGTAGCTGCGGTCTCTTTTTATTAGCAGGCATACTGGGTGTAAATTATCCTAATTCCTAGATTAGTTTTGTTCGGCTGTTTAAGAGGGGCATTGGCCCTCCTACATAAAAAATATCGTTGTGTGTAAATTCTGTATGGAAAACAGTGGTGAGATACTTCTGATCACTCTACTTTCGTCTAAAGTTAAAAGAAAGGCTCATTATTATGTACATAAGATTGCAACTACCTTCAAGAAAATAAAAGGTCCTCTATATTGAGACTTCTATCTGACAGATTTAGTAAAAGCCTATATGAATAAACAACAGATTCTCAAATCATTCAACAGAATTGCAAATTGAACTAAAGTCCTATATTCATCACACTCCCAGTATTGATGTGGTTGTACACATCAATCTAAAACAAAAGAGTGGTAGATGAAGCATATATCTTCACTCTTAGAATGTACTAAAGTAAGAAAGAAGCACAGAAGTTGACTGAAAACAAGATATTTAATTTGGACATCCTTCGCTTAGCCAAACAAATTCGGCAATCATAGAATCTAACAACATCTAGCTGATGACCCAGAATGTAACAAAACAAAAGCTCTAAATATAACCAAAGATTGAGGTTATAAAATTTTAATCTTTCAAAGATTATAAGAAATCTTGGTTGAGGAAAAATTCTGTTCAAACTTTCAATAGAATGACAATTTCCTTAACTTCTTTCTCCTTCTCCAATCTTCCCCATCCTCAAGAACAGCCCTTTGCTTTTTCAGCTGCTATCCCTCACAAACTACGGTGTTTGGGGGTGGGGCTTCACAGCATTCTTCTTTTAATAATGTAATTATTTTTTAGAAACGTGACTGCCCCGTCTATGCATCAAAGAGAAGTAAAGGAAAACATGAGGAGACAGTGGCTGGGAAGAAGGTTGATTCAATTCATGTGTTTTCCTCATTATCATCATAAGAAATATAGGACAAGAAAACACAAAATTAACTAAGACTTAGATGGGAACATCGCTATACTAAAGCTGTCAGCAAAGAGTCAACTTAATACTCCCCCTACTCCATTATAACTTTTCCTTTGTCATTTTTTAAAACTTTCAACAGTCATTGTCATTGAAAATAAACTACATTTTGAACTCTTCAATCTTGTTGTAAAGCACAAAAAAAATTTAAAACAAAAAAAAAAGGCATAAAGCTGTTTAACCTATTAACATCTTCGTTTTCAGAGAAAACTAGGCAAATATAACATTTTTAGCTTTAAACTAAGCAAGTACATTCAAGCAATGAATGCAAATAAAAATGTTTAAATAAATTACCGTCTGAATATCTGATGAGAAAAGCCCAGGTGAATGCTCATAAACTCCATCTTTCATCCTTGAGTTTAGGAGACTTAAGTGGAAAAGGCTGTCAAGCTTGATCTCTTGGAAATTGTCAAATAGAAGCTTACACAGAGATGTGAACTTTTCAGAACTTATAACATCAAAGAAAACATGCTGACACATCTCGGTCGTAGTTTGAGGATACGATTCCTTAAAAGACCCATTAGATATAACACCCTCCAGCCCCTGAGCTGTATGCTTAGTTCCATTCGGAATTTGCCCTGCTTGCAAGGAGCATTTCTGACTATCTTCATGAGAAGCATCAGAATCCTGTAGAAGAATCAGGAAAAACAACATTTCCAATATATCATAAAGGAAATGGAAAAGAAAAAAGATCACTGCATGAAATCACAGACCATATGAAGTTCAGGTCATAGCACAAACCTTAACTGTCACATTACAACCATTTTCTTGATGAAATAAAAGTGCATCTTGAATGCAACGCTGTATACCACCTTCATCGCCACTTAATAACTGATGCATGTGTTCCAATACAACATTTCTCCACTTCCTCTGTAAAAGATAATTTGAATCATTGAAACTAGCACAATGATCTGTCCCAGGAAGAGCAACCTGCTCACAATAATCAGCATCCATTAGCATGTCAAACAGTACCTTTACAGTCTGTATGAAACTAAATGTCATTTGGACAAAAGAACAACAAAAACTACAACATGTGAGCATAAATAGAATACTTGAGTACTTGCAGTAAAAAGAAAAAAAGTGCATCTTTCACTAATTCAATTAGACAAATCATATAACCACAAACATTTCACAAGGAGAAAAAATAAGTATACCTTTCATTAGTTGAAACAGATGAATCATAGAACTAAACATATTTGATAAATGAAATACAAATCAATCAACAATACACTAGCCCCCTAAAGAATTGAATGTTCAAAGCATGAGATGCTAATAATTAAGCCCATAAAATTTAACAAAAAAATAAAATAAAATTTTAAGTTCAAACAACATCTGCCCATCCTGTCCATACAATCAAGATTTCTCTCACTAAACCTCTCAATGACCCTATCAAAGGAAATCCCAGCTTCACAGTCACAAGATCTAGCAGCCATATATAAAAGGATTTTTGTAGAATGAGTCAGTCATAAGCCACATACAAAAGAAAATTTCAACCGCCAATCTGATACAAATTTAAACTATTGTTGACTTCTCGAAACCCCATATACCAACCAAAAATCAATAAAATAACATCAAATGTAAATAAAAAATCCATTGCACAGTATCAATTGCATTGCTTAAAAACAGATGCAAATATGTACATTTGCGTACCATAGTGCAGTGGCAAAAATATCAAATCTTGCTTCAGATAATTCAGAAACTTTTCCATTTTGATCATCCATGTGTTCTACAGCAAGGTGGTATATACTACCAGATCTTGCTTCACTAAATTCAGAAGCTTCTACTTATTCATTATCCATTAGTTACCTAAAGGTGGCGAGCAATCATAATGCAGGAATTTGCTCATGCTCTGTGACTTATTTTGTAATGCTGAAGAGATATTTTTTTATAAAACATATGGGATACGAAAGCAATAAAAATATGAAACTTGTCAAAAAGACTATCACTTTCAACTATCCTGGTGATGCTGTATTAAATTCTCAAATACATCACTCCTGTTCATCTGACAGATATGAAAGAAATACACTCCAAATGTGACCATAACAGAAGAACTTGACATATTCATGTCCGATGCTGAAACCCACACAGCTTCAAGTGAGATATACATCTTGATGAGGCTTTAGAGAACTACATGTGAGGCCAACTTTTAAGAATATTGGTAGAACCAACTTCTCTTGCAAACAGCCTCTAACACTCTCATTGCTCAAAAGGAAAAAGAAGATTTAAAAAAGAGTCACCTTCATTCAACCAACAAAGCCGCCCCAATAACCACATGACTTTCCAAATACCATCAACAAGTAACAACTACTCATTGTCATAAATTTCTAGATATCACAAAATCGCATATTTAAGTCATTCTATGCATGCTAGTTTTAAACTTAACACAATAGCTAGAAATTATATTTTATGCATCCAACGGCTTAGTCAGATCTTCCCCTCATACTCATATCAAGCACAGCTTTCCATCTGATTACAAACAAGTTAATATATTTTATCCACAGTCCAAAGCTACAATAAGTAAGCTCTTAAACTCAAAAGAAAAACAAATCTTGTAACATGAATTGGTGAACATAAACATACTAAACCCATCTCAAGATTTAACTAGTACAAGAAAGAAAGATAGTTAACATCTACAACTGCAAGCACATATATTTAGAAACATTCAAAAGTTACCTGGTCTGTAGAAGCTCTCCTTACATTTTGCATTTTGATCTTTGAACTTGACATTAACTGTTTCCGCCTCTTATATGTCCGAAAATTCTCACTTGCCCCTGAACTCCCATCTCCAGAATCATTCACAAATTCAATTCCAAACCCATTATTCACTGGTTCACTCTTGAAGCACTGAATCTCATCCCCACACTCTGCTCCTTCACCGTTGCTCGTCTCCTCATCAACACCCATCACTACCCTTCACGAAATAGAACAAAACCCTAGTTTTCCAAGCATTTCACCAGAGTTAGGGTTTCACTGTAATAAACCAGCATTATCTTTCAAATTCACATAAAATTAGCACATAAACACTTCAAAAATCAGCGGATTACACCAAAAATCTAAGCAAAATCAGTAAAAACCTCCGCTAGGCAACCAAGAAAACAAAGGCAAAACCAAAAAAAGAAACCGAACTCCAAACAAACCATATCCTGCTCTTTAGCTCCAGGGAAAACGATTAAAACAAAAAGCGTCAACCAAATAAAGCTAAATAGTTGAACTGAACTTCACTATTTACTAAATATTAAATCATGTGAAGCTTAAAACTAAGAAATTCAAATTATTAAACAACTTCATTTTCTTTCTCTTTTTCCCTCCCTACATTTTCTCGAGTACCAATCAGCATATAACAAAAAAAAATTCCAATAAATAAAAGAATTAAGAAGCTTAACCTGAGTTGAAAATTTGAGACCTGAAATTGAAACCCTAAACAATTGAAATTTTATTTTACTATTTTTTAACGTGAGAAACTTTGGCTTTGCTCTGCAACTTGCCCTCTTATCCGTGTTTCTTTAGAAAAAATATATATATATATTTGAAAATAAATGACTACAGAAGAGTTTTAGTTTACTTTATTCTTTTTTGGCCTTTTTCTTTGTAGTTCAGTTTGTTTAGTTGGGTCGGACTTGAGACGGGATGTTTTCGGTTGACAGCGGTAAGGAACTGACAGGTGGCAGTTGTTTTAGCGGGACAAAAGCAATTAATTTTAAAACCAATCCAGAAATTGACTTGATATAAATTACTAATTTTAGTCTTGTCATTTTATTTAATTTCCACTTTTTAAATTTTATTTACTTAAATAGATCAAAATTCAAAACTCAAATTTAATTAATTTTGATTGGATTTGGACTTGTATATGGATTAGGAAATCATTGATTAGATCCAATGATCTAAAGTCCATTTTTAAATTTAAAATAATTATAAATATTAATTACTATTGAAAAAGTAAGAAATTTATAGAAAGGAAAAGGGAAAAATTAAATAAAAAATTTCTAAAAACCTGATATTAGAAGGCAAAAACCAGCCAGTGACGACAACCGCATTTTCCTACCCATAGGGCCGAAAGGTAATAAGAAAAATGCGACGGCACCGTTGCCACCAGATGGCCCGATCCGTTTCCGAAACGGAGAGCGAGACCGACACCGAGACGATGAGGTGCATATCGTGCAAGGAAGAGTACGGAGCACGTGACGCCGGCACGTGCAAGGAGTGCTACGAGGAAGCAAGCGAGACCGAGGAAGAGCTGAAGCGAGAGATCGAAGATCTCAAAGCCAAAGTCGCCTTTTTACGCTTTTGGTCTCCGCTTGATCACACCCACCGTGGCTCCACCTCGCCTGGTCTCTTCTTCCCCAACATCGTTTTGGTCGCTTCCGATGATGGGTCCCCTGGCTTGCCCCCTGTTCCTGTACCCGCCCATAAAGCCGTTTTGGTACTGCCCATTTGCTTGAATTACTTTAATTTCTTTTGTAAAATGTAAAATTTTTGAAAATCGTTTAGATTCACTAAAATGAAAACTTTGCCGTCTGTTTGGAAATTTTTGTTAAGTGTTATATTGCCCATTTTTTTTCAGAATCTTTGATTTGGTTCTTTGGCTTTTAGCTTTAAGAAACTCATTTTCAGATAAGCTGCTTCAAAAAAAACTAGGTCCAAATAGATGCTTCCTATATACCCTAATCAGCAAATGTGTTCTTTGTTTGGTTTTTGAGCTATTTATGAACATTTTGATGTGAAACTAGGTGAATCGTTCACCAGTGTTCAAGGCAATGCTTGAGAATGAGATGGAAGAAAGCAGGAGTGGAACCATCAAGATCATTGATGTTTCGTACGATGCTCTCCGTGCCTTTGTAAACTATTTGTACACAGCGGAAGCATGGCTGGATGAGCAGATCGCTTGTGACCTTCTGATTTTGGCTGAAAAATACCAGGTGAAGCATCTCAAGGGGTATTGTGAGAAGTTCCTGGTATCCAAATTGAACTGGGACAATTCACTTATGAGCTATGCCTTTGCTCACCAGCACAGCGCCAAGCTCATGCTTGATGCAGCTTTGTGTTTGATAACAGACAACATGGATAAGCTTACTAAAAGGGAAGAGTATATGGAACTTGTCGAAAAGGATCCCCGTCTTGTTGTTGAAATTTACGAAGCTTATCTCTCCAAACAGTTTAATACTGCCGCTCATAAAGATACTTCAATGAAAGCATAGTCAACTCTGATCAAGGATTGTTTTGTTCATTTGGATAATTTAGTTTTTCGTAATTGCTGATGGATGAACTTTTTAGTATATATAAAAGAAGAAAAGTTTGCTCATCTTTTGTTGAGAAATCTGTATTACAATGGATGCAACTGTTGAGCCTTCTTGTCCCACAAAATGTTTTGGTAAAATTGTGTGGTAGTTATCTGATTTGGAATCATGCTTGAGATGACAATGAACTGATTTTTTGATGCTTTTACCAGTGTAACCTTCACTGGAGTAGCAAGGATTTTGTCATTGCTTCTGATACAACTGCTAACAATCCTAACTGCCAACTGCCTGCTCAGCTAACAATCAGAAGTAATTTTCCAAATGCTTCAATATTTCAAGAAAAATTTACTAAGGGCAAATTTTTGTAATGCACAAATTACATTTAGAATGCAAATGGGAAAAAAAATCTACTATAGGTTTATTCAGATGCAGCAATATTGATCAGCCTATCCCATAAATGCGCTAGGTACAAATGTAAAACAATGGATTACACTAAATTATATAGAATGAGCTGCAGCATCTTTTTATTTGAGATTTCATATATTCAAAAAGTGGGTTAAACAAACTGGTAAACACACATCACATCAGAGATTAAAATTTTCCAGCTTGCGCGTGGCCCTTCACCTGTTTCATGTAGTGCAGGCACCCATCCCATTGCGGTTGCTGTTTCTTGAAGTTCACCCATAACAGATACAGAGTCCCATATATTTACATGTCCACAAGGTCTCAGCATCCGGTCCATCTCAAGCATGATGGTTGACATATTACACCTACATGGACCAGACAAGGAACATGACAAATTGCACTAAGAATGTGCATTATTAACAAATACTAGGATACAAGTAGGAAAAAGGATGAATGATACCTCTTTTTCTCGACAAAGAAAAGACATGCTGCATGCAATAGGTCATATGCTCTTGGACAAGTATCAAATGGCTCACACCTGGGAGAAAATTGAGAATCATGAGTAAATCTAAAGAAAGAGGAAAATAAAATTATAGGTGCAAGTTATACAGATAAGCTTGACAGCATTCAGAAAGTGTCAATCATGAATGAACAACTGCAAATGAACCAATGGAATAGAGTTAATGATAGAATTGGCAATTGTGAAAGTGTGCAAGTATTATTACTGGGATACAAACATGGTGGCAGTACCTCTTACTTTCCCAACTAACAAATTAAAAGGCATAAGGTTTCTCACATCGGTTTTACTAAGCTCTATATTTGATAGCTGCTTGTGCTTGACTTAGTTCAAGCCTCATTCTGGTTCATGCTAAATTACTAGACTTGCTAAGTTGATTAGCTGAACCAAGATTAAGCCTCAAACTAAAGCTCGGGTTTGGAGAACCGGTGTATTTATTTTTAAATATTGGAGATAGAGGAAAGGCTGCATTGCTCAAATCAAACATGTCATTTTACAGAAAATACATCTGACTAGAAATTTTGATAATGACATTAACCGGGATCCTTTTCTCGCTTAGAAAATTTTTACTATTGTGGACCCTCCAAGTCAAGCATAGCAGGTGCGCTAATGTGAGCTGCAAAGCTTCACGGCAGACTCACAAGCAAAGCAATGCACTTAATGTGCCAGTAGGATTCATGGCCCAAAATACTAGGCCTAACATATTTTATGTCTGAGGGTAAATATAATCTGCATATATGCGACAAAACAAAAAGCAGATGATGTTAGAAGAAGAATTTGAAAATTAGAGTTAAGTGCAAATTGTCTATACCAGTCATGCATATCTAAGGTGTAATCAATTGAGTTCGAATTAATACAGCATAAAGTTTGAAACTCGACTTGAGTTTGACAGAGTTTTATTTTTTTAGTTCAAGCTCAACTCGAGTTAAAAATCAAACTACTCAGGCTCGCTCCATTAACATGTAAAAATAAGCTCTGTTCTTATGTTCGACAAAAACCCGATTATTTGTACTCAAGTTCAAGCTCGAGCTCGAAATATTTTATTAATTAAATGATTAAAATATATTAAAATATAAAAACTCGATTAGACTCGCAAGTTACTTGAACTGGGAATAAAAATGCTCTAACTTAAATCGATCGATAAGTCGAGCTTCTTAAGCTCAAGCTCGACTCGATAATAACTAACCCAAATTCAAGTTTTATTCTAATCGAACTCAAATAACTTGCGAGTACTAATGTATCATTTACAACCCTATACATAACTCCTATAAGCCCTCAATCGTAAATAACAGGCAAAGTGTTACCCACTAACAGGAACAACATTCATAACCCAGAAATCAATCTGGAGATCATGTAAAGCTACTGCAAACCTGTCAGAGTTGAAATAAACAAAAATTACAAAATAATGTAATATACTTTTTTCATCCATGTCAAAACTAAAAACATTATAAAATAAGAAAAGGCTATGCAGTAACATGGTATATAAGATGTTACCCTCCCAGTTCAGCTCTCATGTCCATCACATTACGTAGTTTCTTTCCAGCGAAAAGCACAGACTTAACTGTCTATTATTTCAGTCCAGTAATTTGACTCTACTCTAAAGATTTCTTTTCTGGATATGTAGGCATCCATTTCTATACTTTGAAACCGGTCAGGTGGATAATGAAGACGTGCAGGCCATGTGCTGACATTGAAGCCATAACCATTCCCTGGCAATTAAGTGATGCAGGCCCTCAAATCAACATACCTACAAACATTGTCAGACTGTAACTTATCATGAGCTGTTCAACTTTGGCTGGTTAAGCCTCATGGAGCTTTTATGCCATGTCAAAGTGTAAAGTAGCAGAGAATATGTCCAAAAAGAAAGCACCCAGCTACAAATACTTCTTAAAAGAAAACCATTCAAGGTTGTCAGAGACTATGGCTTTTCTCTTACAGCATTTTTATTTACTTAATTGCTAGAGACTTTTAGCATACTAATGGTGTGAATTCTCCTACCCCCAAACTCTACTTTGTAATTACAAGTCTTACAGAAGGTAAATAGAGTAAAAGAATTTTCTGCCAAAATCTAACCTCTTCACGACTCTGAGGCCAGGGTACAGGTCTCCGGTACCCTACTGGCCTCGGAACCACACAATCCAACATTTTATCTATTCCAGGACAATGCCTCTCGTATTTCTCCCCATTTTCACTCTCATTAAACACCTTAATAGCTTCTTCATTATCCAAACACGGCATCTAATCAACCATACTCTCCTCACATACCTTGTATTTCTCAACCCTAACCCTAACTTCACCATCACCCTTACTTTTCTTTTCCTCCTCCTCCTCTCTTCCTTCCTCGTTTCCGTCACTGAACTCTGTAAAAGCACTAGTGGAGTTCGATTCTAACTCTCCGACCAAGAATTCATCCGACATTGCTCCATTTTCGTCGATTATCCCCGTTCTTCACACTGCCGGCGGAGGCGGTGGAGGAGGTGAAAGCGGAGACGAGGTTTGCAGAGGTAGTGAGAAGTAATTGAAGGAGAACGAAGAGAAGGAGGAGGAGGAGAAGTGAGTGGCAAGGAAAACGATGGAAAGAGAGAGGAGGGCAATGGCTGTAAATTTAACGGACTTAGGGGTTTTAAGGACATCAATAAACGTCGTGGAAGATGCCGTGGCTGTTGTTGTAATAGTGGCTAAGGGGGCTGTCGGTTTCATTTTGTTTTGAAAAGAACAGATTGATTTGCAAGGAAAAGGGACAAGGTTGGAGCAGAGGCGAAAGTGCTAGGAATGGGTCGAATCTCATATTGGTTTTGGACCGATCAAAAATTATAGGTCTCGATCCTTTTTTTTATATAGAGTTTTAGTTCCTTAATAAAAAAAGTAGAGCTACTTTTTAAGTCAAAAATAAAATGATGTCGAAAACCAAAGAAAAGAAAGGGAAAAAAAGAAGCTAAAAAATAAAGAAAAAAAAAAAGTTGATTGAATGAAAGTTGATTCATAGTTCGATTGAATTAAATTTTATCAATAGATTTATGATTTAAAGTTTTATATTTTGAACGATAAAAATTAAGTTTGAAGTTTTTTAGAAATAAATTTAGAGTGTATTTGTTAAGTCATCTATTTGGTGAAATTTCTTTAATTATTTTTCTAGTTGTTGATTGACTTTAATTTTAGTTAGAGAAAAATTTTGTACATTTATTATTTGATAGTGAAGTTTTTTCTTATGGTTCATGATTTTTTCCCTTTACATTGAAAAGTTTTTTACGTAAATCTTGGAGTATTTTATTTTTTCTGTATTGTTGATTGTTGATTGTTGTCTATTACTGTAGATTTATTACGATTTATTATGATATATTACTTTTATGTTGTTGTATATATTACTTCATGCCCAATAAGTGATATTAAAGCAATGGTTATTTTAAGATATTAATACAAAAGTAGCCCAAGACAAAAGTAAATTTTATTTGAGATCATAAAAAGTGAAACAAGTTCTATGATAAAATTGATAGCATCAAATTATTCAATTTGAAAGCCTATGATGGAAGATCATTTATACTACAAATATTTATATGAGTCGATATTGGGTAATTCGGTTAAACCAACAGACATAAAATATGAAAGCTGAAAATAGTTAGGTAGAAAGACGCTGGCTACAATAAAAAAATGAGTTGATAACAACGTGTTCCATTATATAACGTAATAGATGAATGCTTACACTATTTAAAAAAATTGGTAGTATTATATGAGAGAAAAATATGTATGAATAAAGTTATGCTTGTTAAAAAACTTGTAACTTTACAATATAAGGATGGATGATCGATTATAGAGCACTTGAATAATTTTTAAGATATATTTAATCGGATGACTACTATAAAACTTAAGATGAATGATAAAATGAATGCGTTATTTCTTTTGGGTTCATTGTCAAATAATTAGAATACTCTAATTGTGACTGTTATTAATTTAGCTCATAATTACAAAGTGACATTGAAGATGATAAAGGACGGTATGCTTAATAAAGAAGCAAGACGAAATAATTTAGACCCTAAGAATCAAGCTTTGGTCATAGAGAACAGAGTTAGAAACATCAATAGATGTCAAAACTCAAAAGATCATATTAAGTCTAAATACAGATCTAAGTCCAGAGATAAAGTGAAGTGCTTCCATTATGGTAAAGCAAGTCATATAAAATGATATTGTAAATTCTTGAAGCAAAAATAAAAAGATGAGAAAGGCAAGAGTTCAGATGATGATAATCTTGCAACAGTGAATCAAATAAGGATTTAGTTACTTTGATTTATACACATGGTGATTATAATCATGTTGATGATCTCGACATTGAGTAGATAGTTAAAATAGGAATGGCATATCATTGTGTTCCTAAAAAAGAGTTGTTTATAACTTACAAAGCAGGAGACTTTGGTTGCACTAAGATGAAAAATAAGAGTATGTCACAAATTATTAAGATTGATGATATTATTGTATAAACTAGTATAGACTGCATGTTAACTTTGAAGGATGTTAGACACATTTCGAATATGAAAATGAACTTACTCGCTATTAATGTCTTTGATAAAGAGAGATATGAAAGTCGATAAAAGAATGGGCAATGCAAGCTTCTTAAAAAATTTATGGTAGTTATAAAGAGAAAACCATGTTGCATAATGTATAAGACATGGATGTAATTGATCGATAACCAGATAAATGTCATTGAAGATGATGCTTCAATAAACTTATGGCACAAAAGGCTAGCACACATGAATGAGAAGGAGTTACAGGTTTTGACAAGGTAATCTCTCATTCCCTTAACCAAAGATATGTTTCTCGATTTATATGATCACTGATTGTTTGGTAAGCATTGTAAAATTTCTTTTTGTAAGAGTTATCAGAGAAAATAAAATAGATTAAAATTGATTTATTCTTACATATATGGTCCTATTGAGGTTGAATCATTAGGTGATAGCAGGTATTTTATTACTTTTATTAATGATATTTCACGTAAGACTTAAGTGTATATGTTGAAAAATAAATGTCAAGTATTGTAGTATTTTCAAAAATTTTATGCCATGGTGAAAAAGATGACAGGATTGTACTTAAAATATATTTGAACTAATAATAGTGAGGAATACACATCCAAAGACTTTAAAAAGTATTGTTCAAAGTATAAGATCAAGTATGAGATGACAAAACCTAGAATACCGTAGCATAATGGTGTAGCTAAAAAAATAAACCACACCATTGTGAAAAAAATTATATGTATGTTGAGGATGGCAAATTAACCAAACCTATTATGGGATAAAGTAATCAACATAGCCTGTTATTTGCTTAACAAATCACCATCAGTTATTTAGGGCTTTGACATTCTAAAAGAGAATAGATAGGGAAAGATGCTTCATACTCTCACTTAAAAATTTTTTGGTGTAAAGCATTCTTACATGTGCCAAAAGAACATAGGTTAAAGCTTAAAAGTAAAGCCACACAGTGTATGTTTATAAGATATGGTGATAAAAAATTTGGCTATAGGGTATAGGATCCAGTGAAGAGAAATATAGTCAAAAACAAAGATATGGTTTTTCATGAAAAAAAAATCATAGCAAACCTTGAGAAAAATGAAAAAAGTACACATATTACTATTGAATATGATATCTCAACATCGATAAGGGTTCTACAAGAAAGAGCCACAGATGGTAAAAATAAGCAAGAAATAGAACTTAAAGATATGAATAAGCCAACCATAGTTACTGATAAGCTAGATCCAATTAGTTTTGAGTTGGAAGAGTAATTCTTTCTATCTAAGAGTGTTAAGCAAGATGAGTTACCTTCGACATCAGGTGGTGTAGAGTCTTAACCTAAAAAATCTAATAGAAAACACATGCCATCTATTGGATATCTAAGTTTAGATTTTATTTTAGTTACTATTGAAAGGGAGCCAGAAAGCTTCAAGATGTGTAAATTACTCTAGATAGAGAATACTGATTAAAATTGATGAAAGAAGAGATGGAGTCATTACAAAAAAATGATATATATGATCTTGTTAAACTTTCGAAAGGGATGAGGCCATTAAAAAAAATGAGTGTTCAAGTTAAAAAATGATGGTGACAAGCTAGTGAGGAATAAAGCTCGATTGATGGTGAAAGATTTTTTTAAAAAACTAGGCATCGATTTTGATGAGATATTCTATCTAGTTGTGAAGATAAATTCTATTCGAGTGGTATAGGATTAGTAGTTAGTTTGAATATTGAGCTTGAGCAACTTGATGTAAAGACTGCATTCTTATATGGTGACTTGTAAAAGGACATTTATATGAATCGACCTAAGGATTTTGAAATGAAAGGGAAAGAGCACTTAGCTTACAAATTGAAGAAAAACTTGTATGGCTTGACACAAGCTTCACGATAATGGTACAAAAAGTTTGATTTTTTTATGGTAAGTTAAAGCTATAAAAAAATGACAATGGATCCTTGTGTGTATATCAAAAAATTTTCTAATGGTAACTTTATTATTTTCTTATTGTATGTTGATGATATGTTAATTGTGAGACAAAATGCTGATATGGTTCAT